CCGTCATTAACATTCAATCTGTATTATTATTTCAGTTCATCCAGAGCAGCTGCCTCCAAGGCCATGGCTTACATTAAAAGAGCGAGACCAAATTCTGCCCTCAGGTAATAATTCAGCCATCTTTAACTGGCAAGGAGTATGTTCTGTGATCCAGCTAACTCAATGCATTGTTAGCTTGCAGCAGAGCTCTTACCATTTTTTAAAAAAATATCCTAGATTGTAGAAGGGACCTTGAACATCTGGAATAAGGATCAAAGAGTGGAAACAAGAACATTTTTAGGCCATGCTCTGTTTTAAGCTTTATATCAAAAGCTAAGCTCAGAAATAGGATCTAGAGGACAATAGCAGCAGTCTGGGAGAGCTCAAGATTGATGGGACTCCAAGAGACCCAAACAATACATCTTGAGTTTGTGCTGCAGCAGCACAAGAATCTAAAGAGAAGAAAAGAAGCTTCATCCATAGCAAGTACAGGTAGTTCTTGTTGAACAACCATTTGTTCAGCCACCATTTGAAGTTACAACGGAGCTGAAAAAATGGTACTTACGCCCGGTCCTTGAAGTTACAGCCTTTGCAGTGCCCCCAGAGTCACATGAACAAAATTTGGGGGCTTGGCAGTCCACCCGCATTTATGACTGCAGGGTGCACTTCAACTTCCCCCACTCGCCTGTCTCCCCCCCATCTCCGCCCTTTTGGTCACTCTGCTTTCTGCCGCCCTGCACCCTGCTGCCCCCAGCTGACCGTTGCCTTTTTCTTCCTCCCACTGCTGATGAAGCATGCCCAGCCTAGCCCTTTGCAAGGCAGCTGCTGGTCATGGGCTGGAGTGCAGGAAACAGAGCAGCAGAGCACAGGACAGCCAGTGCAGAGATGGTGGGGAGATAGACAGGTGGGGGGAGTTGAAGCGGAGGCAAGTGCAGCAGGGCAGGAGAAGCCTCTAATGACAGCGCGGTGTGGCCCTGACCTAACAATGGCAACTGGGACTACTGAAACTGACGTTGATAAGTGAGCACATCACTTAGCAATGGAAATTCCATTCCCAATTAGGGTCGTTAAGTGAGGACTGCCTGTATGGTATAACTTGGAAGGTTATATGCATCAGCTTCAATTTCTCTCTCTGGTTTTGCGTTGCACTGAGCCATAATGTAATTTGCTTGATTTTAGAGTGGTACATTGGGCGGTCCAGACACTTAGGGCTTATTCATTAAACCAAGGTTAACCCAGATGACCTGATGTGCAGCCAGACTGCTGGAAGAGTGCATGATCACTGCGGGTTAAGAAGTCAGAGATTGTCTGTTGGCCCCAGCCCATAATGCATTTAGCATGCAACCTGTGGTTCCTAGTACAGCATTTAATAAATTTCCTAGAAAGCACTGCAATCCAAAACAAAAAACCAAGATTCACTATTTTTAAACTTGTTTACAGGTCAACATAACTGGCTGTCTTTTATAATAGCTTCTGAAATTTATGTTCAGTAATCTTAGAAGTAGTTCTAGAAAATTTCTGAAATCAGGTTGGCAGATTTTTCCAGGCACATGCAGTGGGGGTATGTAAATTGTTTTTTACATATACAGATAGTTTAGCATATGGAAACAGTTAACCATCTAATAAAATAGAGGTGAACAAGCACATTGAGTATTGTTCATTGGCAGTAAGCTACCATTTAGGCATGTGAAATGTGTTTTATTTTAAAGAACTTTATACTCTTGCTTTCTTTGAAAATTGGCAGCTCTTAGTCACTGTGCTGATATCTGTGGTGCTGAATAGGGTGGTCCTTCTGTCAAAAAATGCTTGACACATCATTGTTCATCATTGTTCTCATCATTTGCTTTCTTTTCTCCAGCTTCATTTACTGTCATGTGCTACAATGTATTGTGTGATAAATACGCTACCCGACAGCTCTATGGCTACTGTCCTTCCTGGGCTTTAAACTGGGAATACAGAAAAAAGGGAATCATGGAAGAAATTGTGAACTGGGATGCAGATATCATTAGTCTTCAGGTAATTGTAATTAAATTAGGTCTCTTTTAATACAGCGTCTGACTCACAAACACCTTAAGAACTGTTTACAAATATAATTTTTTAAAATAATTTCTTGGGGAAAATGACTACATTTTTCTGTTTGGTGGAATTACTTCCTGCCTTTCCTCCAGGAGTTGAGATGGTGTACATTACACCCACTCCTTCAGTCTGTTCTCTTCAACGCCTTTGTGAGGTAGGTTGGACTGAGAGAGGAGGGAGGCATCATCACCCAGTGGACTACTGTGATTAAGGGTGGACTTCAACCAGGGTCTCCCCAGTTCTTGTCCAGCACCTTAAGCATTACAGTACATTGACTTGTGGTGATTTTAAGCCATTTACGTAGATGTTTTTTTCTTCTAAGCCCGTGTTTTTCAAACTTGGCAACTTTAAGATGCGTGCCTGGGGAATTCAGGAGTTGAAGTCCACACATTCTTAAAGTTACCAAGTTTGAAAAACACTGTTCTAAGCGGTTCTCTCCAGTTCTATGGATTTCTGCATTTCTGTGAATAAAATAAAAATATAGCAAATAAAAAATTGGGATATCAAAAGATTACCCTGTGGCCAAATACTGCTTCTTCACTCAGCCTCCCCACGTTCACAGAAGTATTTATTCCCTGTGAAAGTGGGAGGGACCATTTTTGATAACTTGGGCAGTGTTTGTTAGTATCTGTTAATGTTCAGAGGAGAAGGGACTTAACAATTAATACAAATCACAGCAGCTTTTTTCTTCGTCTTCTCTTTTAACTCTGATTACTCTGATACGAGACACAGTATGGCTGCAGTTCAAGCAACCTTTTTCCACGGAGATGGTTTGCCTGCATTTTGGGAGAGAGTTCATATTTTTCCCTCTCTTTCCCCTACCGTCCATGATGGATAATTTCCCTCCCTCTAATAATGCTAGAACTCAGACATTAGAAGCAGCCTTATCCTGAGACATTATAATGCTAGAACTCAGACATTAGAAGCAGCCTTATCCTGAGACATTATAATGCTAGAACTCAGACATTAGAAGCAGCCTTATCCTGAGACATTATAATGCTAGAACTCAGACATTAGAAGCAGCCTTATCCTGAGACATTGCCCTACCAATCATACCATTTAGGCTGAATAACAGTATATCTCAGGCTTCAACCAAGCATCTTTCTCAGGGCTCCCTAAAATTAAAGGATTGTATCTGAAATCCTTTGCCTTTTAGGCATGTTACACTGGTCTTACATCAAATGCATTGGCTTCCAGTTTGTTTCCTAGCCCAGAATGGTATTACAATAAGGATTAAAACTAGGGAGACCAAGGTTGAAGTCCCCGCTAAGATATAGAAGCATGCTGGGTGAATTTGTGCCAGTCAGGATCTCTCAGCCAACCTACCTCACAGGATTGTTGTGAGACAGAATGAGAGGAGGGAGTGTTAAGTATACCTGAGTTCATGGAAGACAGGTGATATTTTTTTAAAACAACACCTACACACACATACACATTCTTCTCTTTCAAGCCCTAAACTAGTTTCACCAAACCTAGAATTCTTCAGGTGTCGTGTACTACAGTTCTTAGCATTTCTGAATAATAAGTACGCTGGCTAGGGCTAATTGGATTTTCAGTCCAAAATATCTCAAGGGTAACTAATTAGGAAGGCTGCCCTAAATGTTTTGCTATTGATTGATTGAATATGTGCCATCCTGCCTGAATTTCATAGCATATGTCCCTCCACCAAAGCAGATCGTGTTGTGGAAACTTCTTTATTGCAGCACCAGGCTGGTGAAAATTCCACCTAGGTGATGAAACTGCTTCCTTCTTTCACTTTGGGATAGGTGGCAATGGTTTTTTTGTTCTGTTCCGTTTTTAACAATGTTTATTATGCTGTTGTTTCTGCTCTTGGAAACTTAAATGGTGGTTTTGTTGTTTATTTGGTTTGTTTTGAATTGGTTGCAGTATTCTTTCTGTTTTAGTGTACTGTAGAGGGAACCTTGGTTGGGCCAATATTGGATTATAAATAAAAATGACTATGAATATAGCTGAATAGGATTGCCAGGTTTGGAGGTACCACCATAGTCAATGCTAGGGTTTTTTGTGTGTGTGTGGGGGGGTAAACGTGGGGCAGGGTGAGTGCTTGTGAGCATCTTTGAAGCATCATGCTGGCCCTTGGTTGGGATCCTCAGAACACCTCTTCATGTGTAGAGGACTTAGGGAATGGCCTTGAAGGACAGGAGGAAGAGCCACTACCAAGGCAGCGATCAGATAAGAAACTAGTTTAAGTAAATGTCTCAGACAAGCCCCCTCTAGTTCACAGGAAGATAAAGTGAGGGAATGGGGAAGCACGTTCAGACTTGCAAGATTCTGTTATTCTAGCTGTGGAGATAAAAGTAATCCTGATCTTTCTTAGTCTGGTCTATCTGGTTGGGCTGACATCATGTTCTTCAATGGTTCTTTCCTTTGCTGCTGTGAGTAACATGAGTCCTTCCTGTGGATCTTCTGCACACCAGTGAAGGGCTCTGAGAAACAAGTAGAAGCAAAAGATGCTGCTTTTTTTAGCACAGCTTTCTCTTTTGCACCAGTAACCATGCAATATTTATTTCTAGGAAGTAGAAACTGAGCAATACTTCACCCTTTTTCTGCCAGCATTAAAAGAGCGTGGATATGATGGATTTTTTTCTCCAAAGTCACGTGCCAAAATCATGTCTGAGCAGGAGCGAAAACATGTGGATGGTTGTGCAATATTCTTCAAAACAGAAAAGTAAGAGATTCCTCTGTATTGTGGCTGAAGTGTGCAAACAGCCATATTTGTTCCTAAATCAGCATCTGTTCTAGCCATATGTGCAGTAGTTCTGAAATTAGCATATGTATATAAAGAATAGATAGCATCACTGAAGCAATGAGCATGAAACTGAGCAAACTCAGGGAGGCAGTGAAGGACAGGAAGGCCTGGCGCAATATGGTTCATGGGGTCACGAAGAGTTGGACATGACTTAACGACTAAACAACAACAACAATAAAGAATAGACAATGAGCATGAAACTGAGCAAACTCAGGGAGGCAGTGAAGGACAGGAAGGCCTGGCGCAATATGGTTCATGGGGTCACGAAGAGTTGGACATGACTTAACGACTAAACAACAACAACAATAAAGAATAGAGAAGGGATGCTTCATAAAATTCCCGGTAGTCATTTTTACTTTCTCATTTCCCACAAATAACAATTCTTATAGATTTGTTTCTTTCTCTCTTTTTTAATTGAGGGTAATTTATGTATGGATGTTGATTTTGGTTTCAGGTTCACACTGGTGCAGAAGCACACAGTAGAGTTCAACCAAGTGGCAATGGCCAACTCAGAAGGGTCAGAAGCTATGCTGAATCGAGTTATGACAAAGGACAACATAGGAGTTGCAGTTGTGTTAGAGGTGCACAAGGAACTATTTGGGGCAGGTTGGTGTTTTGTGTTTTTATCCCCAAAAAGAGGACAGTTGCATGCTGGATTTTATTTGTTATTTTTATAGCTTAACTTTTCTCTAAGAGTTTGAGGTGGCTTCATGGAGGTCTCCATCCCCCCCCCCTCCACTGCCATAACAGCAACCCTGTGAAGTAGGTTGGGCTGAGAGAGAATGACTGGCTTAAAGTCACCATGGACTTCTATGTCTTGAGGGTGGACTAGAATCTGGAAATTACATGACAAGCTTTGTAATTTGGGGGGCGAGGGGGGCTGAGGCTTTGAATCAGTCTTGACTTCTGGTGACTGTCTGGATGAGCCCCTGCAGTTTTCTTAGCAAGATTTTCAGAAGTGGTTTGCCCTTGCCACCTTCTTCCTCAGACTGAGAGAGAGGGACTCGTCCATGTTCACCCAGGTGGCTTTGCACCTAAGGCAGAGCTGAAACTCATGGTCTTCTGGTTTCTAGCCTGGTGCCTTAAACACTACACCAAAATGGGTCTTTTTTTGTAATAACAGCACTACTTAGTTTAAGTGAAGCTGGCAAAGCATAAGATTGACTTTACACAGGGCTTTGCTAAAGCAGCTTCCAAGGGAGAAGGTCTGTTCATCGCAACCAGGAGGGAGAAATCATTATCCATGTCTTTTCAGAATTCTTTTGGTGAGTTGAATTAGGCCTGAGGAAGAAGAGGGATAATATCCCTTGTAACATTAATGCAATTAATGCACATTGACAGGAGAATTCAGATGGGGAAGCGCTTTGGGTTTCCTTTCTTGACAATCCAGGTGGGCCCCATGATGATTGTTGATTGGAGCTGTAGGGCAGGCACTGCCAGGGAGAAATTAGAGCAGGAGTGGCAATGATTAGAGCAGGAGTCGGCAACCTTCTGCACAGGGCCCAGAGGCTGTGCCACAGCCACCATTTTCTCCTCCTCCTCCTCCTCTGCCTCACAGCTCACTCTCATTCTCGCCAGCACTGCCCACATCAAGGCAGCTGGTGAAGCCATTGCCAAAATGGCCACCCAAGGAGCTGGTGAGTTCTCACAAGACAGGCCAAATTGATGGCCCCTCTCTCCTTCAGGCCAGGTGGATATATTTCTTTTTGGGACACAGGCCAGATGATTTTGGGTGGTGGACCATATTCAGCCCATGGGCTATAGGTTGCCAGCCCTTGCTTTAGAGGTTCCCTGCTCCTCTATCTCTATAAACATAAGTTTAGAGTTGTTTCCCAAGATAATAGCTAGTTATGCATTTAAAATGTCCTGTATAAAGCTTAATGCCAAACATTTAATTAAAAAAAAATAGAGTTGTGTTCTGAAGGACAGAGTAGGCATCTGGGCTAAATACCTCTACCCTGTTCCATCATATATAGAGTCAGAACAATAGTACATGCAGTGCAGTTAGGGTGTGTGTCTCAAAACGGGCAATATGGGAGAAACATGTTGTGTTACAAGCTCTACCCTATTTGTACATGGCTCATCCCATCCCTGCAGTGACACTGGTTGTGAAGATAACAGTAATTGCAAATCTCAATCCATAAAGATTATGATGCATAAATGGTTACAGGTAGTCCTCAACTTACAACCACAATTGGGACCAGAACGTCTGTCGCTAAGCAGTGCAGTCATTAAGTGAGTTGCACCCAATTTATGAGAGTCTGTGACTCTCCTACAGCAGTGTTTCCAAGCCATTCTAAGCTGAGCTTCTCCAACCACCTTCTACTCTTGATAATCGAGTCCAAGCCTGAGATTAAATTCTGTATTTAAAGTGTGAGAACTTCCATGGCTTTCTCTCCTGATGTTCCCTAATCTAAGACTGAAACTTGTCTTTTTGTCTGCTATATTTATATCCCTCCTTCCTTCAGAACTCACTTAGCAGGCTCCTGTCTAGAGATAATGTGTCCGTTTGATTTTGTCTCTTTCATAGCATTTTTAAATAGCACGCAGGTCTCTTTCTGTCTCTAGAAGTGAGCAGAGATGCCACTGAGCTTGCCCCTTGGCTGGGATCATGTATCACCTGAATTTGCACCTTTATGTGGACAATGCAAATATAGTCACCTCAATTCCAAAGAGAATTGTACCACTATTTGAAGCCACACTATGGGAATTAGGACTAATTGCAGCTGGAGGAAGGGGCTGCCGGTTCATTCAAATCAGCTGTCCCACAACCTGATCCCTTTCTCTCCAAATGCATTGGCTAAGAATTCTGGGATTTCCAGTTCCAACACCTGCAGAGCACCAAGTAGGGAAGGCAGGTCCAGTTGATATCTCTGTGTATCCTACGTGCCTGTAACCAAGTAGTGTTCATGGAGGGGTGTGTGTCTCAAAACAGGCAATATGGGAGAAACATGTTGTGTTACAAGCTCTACCCCATTTGTACATGGCTCATCCCATCCCTGCAGTGACACTGGTTATGAAGATAACAGTAATTGCAAATCTCAATCCATAAAGATTATGATGCATAAATGGTTACAGGTAGTCCTCAATTTACAACCACAATTGGGACCAGAACTTCTGTCGCTAAGCAGTGCAGTCATTAAGTGAGTCGCACCCAATTTACGACTTTTTTGCCATGGTCATTAAGCAAATCACATGGTCATTAAATGAATCTGGTTCCCCCATTGACTTTGCTTGTTGGAAGCTCCCTGGGAAAGTTACAGATGGTGATCATGTGACCCTGGGATGCTGCAACTGTGATAAATATATGCTGGTTGCCAAGCGCCTGAATTTTGATCACATGACCACGGGGACACTGCGACATTCGTAAGTGCGAGGACTGATCGCAAGTCACCTTTCAGCACTGTTGTAACTTTGGTCATTAAATGAATGGTCATAAGTCAAGGACTACCTGTATTCCGTTGATTCCATTTCTCAGGGTGAACCGGTTTAATTATGACTTAACTGTGCATTGATTTTAGGTATGAAACCACTTCATACAATGGACAGCCAGCTGCTTATAATAGCAAATGCCCATATGCATTGGGACCCTGAATATTCGGATGTAAAGCTTGTCCAGACGATGATGTTTGTCTCTGAACTTAAAAGTATCCTTGAGAAAGCCTCTGGTCGGCCTGGAAGCCCAACAGCAGACACAAATTCCATTCCTTTGGTGCTGTGTGCAGATCTCAATTCACTGCCTGATTCAGGTATTTGGAAGCAGTTGCCTTTACTTTGGAGTTGATCCATGTCTTCATTTTTTAAGAATAATTTTAATCATTGTGTAAAACTTAAAAATATTGTAGAAGAACCACTTTCAGTGTTTAAGACAGTATGTTTAATTATGATTGTTTTTTAATCGGGTGAGAGGGAGTTAGAGAATCATGTATTTTATATCTACTCTATTTTCCTCAGAGAGTGTCTTGGAGAAGAACCAAATAAATCAAGCAATAATGGCATTGTACCTTCCTCTGCTTATTTAGAGAGTTTTAAAAAAGGTGTCTCTACATGATTAAAGTTGATTAAATTTGGTGAAAAGGTTTTTTTTAAGTGAATGAGATTGTTTTGGGTAGGAAGAGTGCAGAAGAAATGAAACTTAAAACACTGGTTTTGAGAGTACAGTTAATATCCAGAGAATATGGTTAACAAATTAATAAAAGTTATTGTGATATTTTTATTACGGAAATGCTTAGAGGAGAGGAAGGTGAGTTTATTGAAGAGTGTCTGAATTTTCTTGGAGAGCTGAACATGCTAGAAAATGCATTTTTGCCAAAATAATTGCATAATGGTTGCATGATTGTTAGCCATTCTGAGTTTTTGCCGGAGTAGAAAAATAAGGTTTAAGTTGAATAAATAAAAAAGTAATTGGAAAAAGACAGCCTATAATTGAACCAGATCAGCTGTGGGAAAAGTGTTGAAATATACTGAGTTTTGAGATGCACATCCAAATTCTGTATTTATTTCTTTGGAAGTTTATTCTCCTATAAAATGAACATAGGATTGCAGCTTCACAATTCAATTCTGAACCTGCGTGCTTGAAACAGTGTGTCTTCGCTTCTCAAAGTTAAGCTTCGTCTGACATATTTCTCAGATTCTAGACTAGTATTTTAACATAATGAGAGTCTTTTGTTGGGTTGGAGTAGGCTGACCTGAGTGAACAAGTGCAGGTCCTTGGTTGAACTAGTAATTTCCCCTCTGGTACAACAGTTATTTCTAGCCATAAGCCACAATACATTCTAACCTTAAGCAAATTCTAATTCCAATGCAATAAACCTAGTTAGTGGGTCGTAAATAACAATGGTGGCTCTAACTGTTGAATAATAAATTTTTGTAAATATTCATAACTGTCTAGGAAAAAAATTCACACTCTTGCTGTTGCTCAAGTAGTGTTCTAGAGTTAACTAATGACAAATGGTGCAATTCAGTCTTTCATTTGTTGGGTATTCAAACCAGGTGTTGTGGAATACTTAAGCAATGGAATAGTGGCCGACAACCATAAAGACTTCAAGGAGTTGCGTTATAACGAGTGTCTCATGAACTTCAGTGGCAGTGGAAAGAATGGGGCTTCCGAAGGAAGAATCACCCATGGCTTCCAGCTCAAGAGCGCCTATGAAAACAACTTGATGCCTTATACTAATTACACTTTTGATTTCAAGGTAGGTATGGTTTAGTAAAAGTGGCCCCAAAAGGACTGTAAAACCTGCACCATCCAAGCTGGTTTGTGTTCTCCATTAACTCTGCTTGTTGCAAGCTAGTTGTGAAGAACACAAATGGTCATCCCTATGACTGCAGAATGCTACAACAGTTGTAAATGCAAGGATTGGTTGCAAAGCTTTTTTTTTTTACGCCATTGTAACTTCAAAATGGTTGCTAAACAAGGCAATTGGTAAGTGAGGTCTACCTGTACTAATACATGGTTTGCAAGTAAGGAATTGAACTAGTCTAGGATACGTTGTGGTTCATTTCTCATCTCCATTGTCCTTCCAGTTGTTTTTTTCAATTACCTCCATTCCATATTCATCTAAGCATTAGAATCATTAGGTGTTTAATCTTAAATTAATCATGATTATGAGTTAACATGTTACTGAATTACATTGTTGAATGTGTATTAACTACATCATTTATGTGATCCTAGTAAAATATCAAATACACATTTAATCCTTTTTAGAGCTACAGATCAGGTTGTAGCTCAGCTGCAAATGTATCAGTACAGGTGATCCTTGGGTTACAATGGCAGTTGGGACCAGGATTGCTGTGTCAACAAATGGTCAGTAAGCAAGGACTACCAATATGTTTAAAGATATGAAATCAGAGCAGTGGAGAAAACTGGTACGATATGTCTACCCAAATCTGTGTGATAGCTGTAGGAGCATGCTGCTAAGTGCCATCACATCTAAAAGAAGATGTAGATTCTGTCTCAGAACCTTCATTCTGAGGTTTTGTATTTGGTGCTCCGCACTTGAATTCACCTGTTTTAACAGTTGAAATGTCTATTCCTTGTTGCAAGTTCTCATTTCACATTAAACTCGTAATGAGTAGAGCTGTGCTTCTAAATCAGCTGAGGCCCAGTGTTTCAGGGTCCTGATTGCCCTACAGTCCAGTTTAACTGAAGATGACCCATTGCATGTTTATAGGTACCAATGTGACCTTCCTATTTCACACAATTATCATTTTTACTGCTTGTAACAACAAGCCATCCTTCCTTTGGCTCTGGGACTTACAATCAAGCCAGAGGAGGCTTTATACCCATTCCTGATAAACTGATCAAAGTGCAGGCAGATTTTCAATCTGAAACCACCCATTTCACATGCCTGAATTTTTAAGAGCTAAATAAGACCCATTTCTTTTTTTCTTTCTTTAAAGGGGAACATAACCTAATCTATGAACAGGATTCTGTTTCTAGCCTGTATTTATACTTTTTTTTCCCCCTCTCTCTCTAGGGTGTAATTGACTATATTTTTTATTCCAACACTCACATGAATGTGCTTGGTGTCCTGGGGCCTTTGGATCCTCACTGGCTGGTTGAGAACAACATCACGGGGTGCCCCCACCCTCACATCCCTTCCGACCACTTCTCACTGTTGACTCAGCTTGAGCTCCACCCTCCGTTTCTGCCTCCGGTCAACGGCATCCATTTGCCGAACAGGAGGTAGTGGAGCCCTGCTCCCTTCGAGGGCTGGGACCTGTTCATTTGTTTATGGACTTGTACAGTTGTAAATCAAAGTCTGTAGGAGTGAAGTATGGCCAACCTTTTAAAAGCTGCTGCTTCATGCTCCTTTCATTATGTGTGTTGACAGTACAATTTTGCACATTTTTGGTGCATATTGGTACCATTTGGCACTAGGGCTGGAACCAAAGTTGTTGTTTGTTCCCTTTTTCAGGTTTTTTTGTTTTGTTTTGAAGGTACAGATGCAAAGTATATACAGACACACGTGAAGAAAACATGGCAGGCTTTACATGTTGCAACAGAAAGCTGCCTTAATCAATGGACAAATCAGAAGGGAGAGATTTGCTTATATGTATACATCCATAGCGAGAGGTTTTGTATTTTTTCAGTCCTAGCCAGATGAGTCCTTCCACCTGCCCCCAACTCCCTTGCATTTTTTAAAGTCCTCTGCACTAGACTAGACAACATGTATTGGCCCTGTTGGGAATTGTGTATCCTTGGAAATAGCACTTACTGTTTTCAGAGTTTATTCTCAGCACAGATTTGTTCACCTCCCATTTGAAATAACAGACAGAGATGCAAGACATTAATCTTCCTGCTGTTAAAAAAAAAGTTGCTACAAGAGAGACCTTTCCGTGAGCATCTGATTGCATCTGGCACTAAGCCACCAGGGTGTTCTGCCCTGCACCACCTCCATGCCTGAACTATAAAATGTTGCATGCTCTAGTCTCAGATTCAGTGAATCACCTCCATTACTCTAGGGGTAGGGATGAGTCTGAACTTCTGGCTTGCAGCTGTATTCTCTACCAGAAGAGTAAGATAGCATCAGTCTCTTACTTGAAGAAAGCCCAAAATTATGAATTGGATCACTTCAGAGAAACACAGATAGCGGGACAGATGACTGAGGGGGAGCCACAGTAATTGGAGGGCGATTTGGAATGCTGAATCCTGCATTTAAAATCAGTGACAAGAATTCTTCTGCTAAATGTCCACAATATACAAATATATTCCAACTCAAACACACCTCTTCTTTTTACCCCTTGTAAATTATAAGCCCCTTCCTCTGTCCTTTTAAAGTATTCGGTTAAGAAAGGCTGGGAGGAGTAAAGTGTGAGATAGACGTTTAGCTTCAGCCTCCTTCCTGTAGTACAACCAATTTTCTTTGGGTGCAATTGTTGCAACATGAAAGGGAGAAAAATGTTAATCTATCCATTCCCTCGGCATTTTTTTTTCTTTTTTCCTAACCCTAGTCGCCAAATAGCCATCTCATGCTTTTAATTCTTTGTTGTTGGTTTGTTTGTTTTTTCTGTTTTCTATCAAGTTGGGTTTTTTTTTTAAGGGAAACTGCTTGTTTGTTTCCAACTGTTAATTTCTTTCTTTAAGAAATGCTTAGGCATCCTCGCGTGCGCGTGTGCTTCTGGTGGCCATTTTAAAACCTTTGTTCTTCTGGAGGGTGGGAAAATATTTTTTTAATGCCATCTCTTTAAGAGAGATGAGGCCAATATCCACTCAGGACAACTGCTATTGTGGTGGGCTCGAACAGAATATTCCACTGCAGAGAGGGGATTCAAAGCAAGCAAGATGGTGGATGTGGGGTCTTGATCCAAGTCCCGCCCGTGTGTGGGCATTGCATGCACGCACAGAGGTGTGTGCTTGGATAACAATGCTACATCTTCCATCTTGCCTGTTTTGACCCCCCCCCCTCCTGCAGCTACTGCCTAGCCATTCCAGGGAAAGAGAGGCACTTAACAGTAAGCCCTTAGTGGATAGAGTCACACTTTACTTTTCCAACAGCAGCAACAAAGGCAAAAAGGACATTTGTTTTAGGTTTTTGGTATTTCTGCTTGCTGCTATACAAGATTCCTTGAGCTTATATTTTAAACTTTTCATGCACTTTACTATTTCTAGTCTGAAGATGTGATATTTTTAATAAATGAGAATTATTTCCATTATGTGAATGAAAATTTTTAAAGGACCTATATTTGTCTCATAAATACACTTAAAAAAAGGACAATAAAAAGAGTCAAATAGTTAATTTTAAATCGTAAGGAACTGTCTGTTCCATAAAGCAGCCTTTAAGGCAGGGTTCCTCAACCACAGCAACTAGATCGGA